GAGAAATAACTGTTTTGTTTTGCAACAAAAAACCTGTTTATTTTGTAAACATCTTCGTAGGGAAATCAGTACTAGTTTTTCATGAATCCTTGAACATGTTACACTATTCTAGCTCTAAATGACCTCCTGTCCTATATCGGAAATTGAGAATTGAGTTAGATACAGAATTGGGTAGCCCACCAATTGTTTTATTGAACTCATGAACACACAAAATTTAACTTCACAATCAGCTTTTAAATTTCAAGATTAATCATAAGTATGCAACTCTTTTTTGTCTTAGTTTCAGAATCTGTCACAAGGTTACTGAATTTAATATTGATTTTTCTATTTTACTGGGAGGATTGTTGTCTTTTTTGGTTGTGTAGTGTTTCTCTGGGGCTTACAGTATATTCTTGTTAAATAATTATGGTGTCTCTGTTTCCTGACTGTTAACCTCGTGTTTTTGAGCAGATCCAACGGATGTCCATTCCGTATAGACTCTATAGAATTCCTTTGAACTATCTGAAACACCCTTGAATTTACTTCTTGCAACTAACTCTTATCTAAGAAAGTCACCAAAAAGTAGGAGTGATATCTCTCATGCTTTTCCCCACCTGGAGCAGAGTGAGTGAAGTAACACATTTTAGTCTTGTTCTAAAATCAATTGAGTTCCTAAAATAAGCACTTTGATCCCTAAGTAAAATGAGATATTTAATTATGCCAATGAATATAAATGCGTTAAATTTCTATTTTAAAAGACAAAGAGGCTCTCTCAGATTAGATTTGAAGATAGCTTGTTTCCAAAAGGCCTAAAACAAAATGACATGATCAGTTTAAAATAAAATAATGGGTTAAAATGTATCAGCTAAGTGCAAAGAGGGAAATTGATATAACAACCAAGAATATAAGTCAAAAAAGCATTAAATGAGGATAAAATGAACTTATTTTATATAATTTAAAGAAATATCTACAGTGAAAACACAATTGTGACACTTTATATACTAAAAACAAAGAAAAGAGTGGCAAATTAAATTGCATTGATTAAATTGCATTGTTGCAGTTTGGCAATTCAGATTAGCAAAAAAGAGACCAAACCATTAGTTGTTATAAATTTGCCAAGGGTTCGGGATTAAACAGAAGAGTTGACTGAACAGAGGCAGGATGCAGCGTTTATTGTATGGCTTTTCCTTTGCCCCTGATACTGCTGCCCTTGCCTCTCCTGGCGTAGAGATGGTCCTCATGGAGTATGAAGAGAGGCTGAATTCTTGCTGTGTTGAAATCTGTTTCTACAAGGGCTTCTATCACCATTCTGGAAGAACTCACACTAATGATCTATAGGCTTCTCTAATAAGGGCTTTTTGTGGTTCTTTAAACAAGTGCATTATTTGCAAAGCTGCATCCTCATCTGGGAGGAAAGAGCACTTAAAGTCTTTGGGTCCCCTCAAATGTCTTTACTTCCAGCTCTCTGGAGTTCTAGAAACCTGTCTCTTCATATTTGTAAAGTAAAGCTTTTGAGAAAAAGAAGATTAATTGTGTTGGAAATGCAATTATTCTGGTTCTTTGACAAACGGTTTGGGAAAAAGCTTGGAGGATATAATTTATGTGGTTGCATAAATATTTCAAGCTAGAAAGAGCGCAGTTTACATTACTTTAACACAAAGCAATAAAGTAGAAATTAATAATGAAGCTTTAAGTTAAAAAGTACTGGAAACATAAAAAGAAAACCACTTTTGTAAATTTTTGGATCAAAAAGGAAATCAGAACTGTAATTACTGACAATTAGGAAAATAGCAGCAATGATGTGATTGTGTGTCAAAAAGCACGGGATAGGACAAAACTACAATTAATAGGCAAATTTCAGACCTACGCTTTGTTTTTAAGTAAGAACCAATGAAAATAAACTATCCACTCAATACTGAAATTTAGATAAGTAATGCTATGGAAAGAATATGAAAGAAATAATTTTCCTTCAATAAAATATTTCCTTTCAATAAAATATTGATTAGACACAAATTTAATAGAGTAGACAAGTAAATTGAAGAGTACATTTCAGGCAAAATACATCCTGACATAGATCTTATTTCAGGATTTGGCAGTATGTTTAACATTAGACAATATTTTAATGTTTTACATGCCTTTTGGTTGCTTCTTTCATGTTTTTTGCCTCTTAATGAAAAGGCATTGTATGTGTAATTATATTTTTTAATTACATTTTTTAATTGAGAGAATATATGACTAAATAAATGGAGTGGCTTGTATTTCTGGCTAGAAAGACTTGTTTTTTATACAAGTTTTATTCAAACTTATGGCTCTCTGAGGTTAAATACAAACTTGTGTGTGAATGATGTTTTTCTGAGTAGTATCAATATTAGCGTCTCAAGGTGGTCTGTAAACCCCTCATCCCTCCAAATTATCTTTTTCACTGAAAAAGTAAATCACCTTGGTAGACCAAAGGAGAAAACCTATATTGTAATCTTCTTTTCAGAAATCTCGAAAATGGAGTCCTTGTCCATTCTGTATTAAAATTTTTTTTAAAAAAAGAAAGAAGAAACAAGTTAGTTAGTTATAGAGATGCTTTCTTAAGTGACAAATTATTCTTAAAACAATATTTCAGCATCAATCATATGTAATAGAGAAGTACCATTGACATTCTCAGTAAAGAACAAGAAAAAATATCTGCTCCCACCATGGTATTCTTGGGATTCTAGCCGTACTAAGTCAGAAACCAAAATTTTGAGGCATAACTCTTAGAAATATGAAGAGGACATTGCCGTTATTTTTGGCAGTTATTTCATTTCAATCAACAGACTCACTCACCAAATATTTATTGAACATCTATGCTGTGGCAAGCAGTGTTCTAGGCTCTGGAGATCAAGCTGTGTACACGACAGGCAAGGGCCTGCTCCCATGAAGTGTATCGTTTACAGTGGTAAGTGGAGGATGACAATAAGAAAGGAAACAAGAAGATTTCAGAGAGTAATCTTATGATTTCAGATATGATGTCATTGCCTACCTAGAAAGTCAGAGTGTGTCATTAGAAAAAAATGTTAGAAATAACGTGATGGATTAGTAACTTAGAAGGATATAAAATACATATAAAAGGAATAATTTAAAATAATCATATAGAAAATCTTATCGACAAATATCTCCACTCACAATAGCAACAAATAATACAAAATATATAGGACAAGCTTAACAGGAAAGTGCAGGACATATAATGAAAAAATCTACATATGAGCCTGTATGTATATTTATATGTATATCACGTAGGAGTGTGCACACACATATATTTTTTTAATTGAGAGAAGGCATGACTAAATAAGTGGAGCAACTTGTATTTCTGGCTAGAAAGACTCGTTATTATAAAGATGTCATTTATCTTTATATTTTTTACAAATTTACGGCTACTTTAATCCTAACAAAATTCTTTGGGACACTTGTAAAGAGAATATAGCATTCACCTGGAGTAATAAACATTAAAGAACAGCCATAAATAATTTGATTAAGAAGGGAAATAAAAGGGCACCTGGGCTACAAGATGTTAAAATACATCATAAAGCTGCAATGGAATTGAGCTGGAAGACGCAGAAACCAATTAACTAGTGCAGGGAAGTCACGTTTGTGGTTCGGTTACCGTCTTCTCCCATCCTCCTCGCCATGGCACACATTCATGGCTAAATGACCTGGGCTCCCTTCCCTGCTGGGCCTGGACGTGGTCTCAGAGTACTCCAGACAGGCCCATTAGGCTATCAAAATTGGCACATGGGTTAAAACATTTTGCTTTTCAGGTATGTGATAAAAGTGACATACAAATTAGTAAAGAAAGGAAGGATTATTTCAGAAATGATTCTGGAAAAACTGGCTAACTCTTTGGAAAAATAGTTAGTCCTTTACCTCACATTATAGCCTAAAATAAATTCCAGATGAATCAAAGGATTGAATCAAAAAACAAAAGGCAGGAAAGAGCTTGGAGATAATATAGATATTTATCTAACATCAAAGTAAAGAAGGTCTTTTTTAGCATGAAAGCAAAGGAAGAAATCAATTAAAGAAAGGATGGATGGATGAAATTACTCCAAAATTTTTCATTTCTGTAAGTCTTAAAAGTAGTATTTGCAAAACGTATTGGGCATGTTTTACAATATTTTGTAAAATATTATTTGAAAATATGTATATGTGCAAACGCACGTATATATACTAAAGAGATTCGATTGAAGCATACAAAAATATTTTTAGCCATTCATTTAAGATAGGGAGACTATGGATAATTCTATTATTTTTAAATTTTCTACAATGAATATGTTATTCTAAAAAGGAATGTGTATCAGATTTATGAAGAGAAATATAGGAAACTAATATTTTTAAAAATCTAATCTGCAGTATTTTTTGCATACATTATTTCTGAATTCTCTTAGTAATCTCAAGCATGTAATAATATTCTGCTTTTCAACATCAGGGACCTGAGGTTCAGCGAAATTAAATAAATGCCCCGAGATAACTCAGGTAGGAAGTGGTAGAGTTGAGATCCAAAGCAGGTAGTTGTGTGATTCCTCATGCCATTACCTAGCATCAGTCATAGATCTCTGTCCTGCTTGATGTCAGAATTGGAGAGAAGGAAGGAAAAAAGGTTGAGTTTAAACTGGGGCCTGATCTTTCAACCACAGAGCCTGGCTTATTTTATCCTACTTTCTGTGCTTGTCCCCGATTCCTTCCACATACCTCCTGTTTAGTTCTTCCAGGGCTTGATAAGGTAAATGCTTTTCTCCTACAGATGATGTTAGATTTTGGAGATGAAACATCAGAGTTTGGTAAAAAGTGAGCTCTTTCTGTTCTTATTTACCATCTGCAAATGTGTGAAGATAATCCTTCAATCCTTCCTTTTCTGGCCCACCAACCTGTAAATCTTGTATTTGAGTTCTTGTGGTGGCCAAGAGTGTTAATGTTAAAAAAAACAAAGACAAAAAAAAACCTTTATTTTCTTATCACAGACATTCTGCAGCCTTTAATTCTATGTATTATAGGTACCTTGCTGCAAAAAGAGGCAAAGTGATGGAATCAAATATATGCATTACAACTCCAGGTAAGAAATAAGCACTCTCAAGTGCAGAAGTATTTTGAGACTATTCATTATACTAGATAGGTGTATGTTCAATCAGTCTTTCTTGTCTCAGCATGCAAGCTCCTCAAATCCCATCATTTTCCTTTTGGATACTAGCACCAAAAGAAATGGATACATTTATGTTAGTATGCTAGTGAGTGTGGTCAGGTTACCGTTTGGGTCTGAGGTATGTTAGTCTACTGAGGTAAATTTGGGTATATTTTGGAGATAGATTTTGCATATATCATAATTGATATATTGTTTTGTTCTCTGGCCTGAGTTTTGTGTCTTTTCTATGCTACTTCTGTTCACAGGGGAGCATTATTTGAAAACATCTAGCTGGGTAGAATAACTTTCAAATTGATGAAAATAAGGACTATAGTTATAGTTAGGATATTGTTCCCCTAGAAGAATTTGATGATGGCAGTTTTCTTCTAAATTAGCTTTAGAAAATACACTAAATAGCATGATTGTGACCACTTTGTTTTACAGCCTCCCAACCTGCACTGAAGCTCTGATTCTCTCATTTTTAAGTACAGTTTATAATATTGCAACCATTATTGACATTCTTGAAAAGCTGGAGGAAAGAATTCCCCAGCACAGGGCATTTTGCTAAGCTCTTTTCCTCCTTCTCAATTTCTGGTAGCTTCCCATTGCTTGTCAAAAAAAGTTACACTCCATACAGCCCAAGGCTACATTTCAAGCCACTTTTATTATTTAATGTAACCTTTGTTCTAGCAAACTTGTGCCATTCAATATTCATCTGATGAGACTTGTTCGTTTTCTATTTCCTTTGGTCACCATGATTTTGATTCCTGGTGCATCTTCTTCCTCCATCTGTCTCTAGTGAGATCCTACCTGCCTTTATTCATCAATGAAGCTTTCCCTCATCTCCAACTCTGAATTCCCTGTAGATTGTTTGTTTGTACCACTGATAGCGTTCACCTTGTGTAGATTCTTCATAAGTTGTCTTGCCAGCCCAGCTAAGCCTATGGCAGCCCTAGAATATGCACCCTGGGCACCTGCATCTTATGTCTGCAGTTCTCCCACTTCTTTCTCTTTTTCATTCCCTCAAATAATACCTTATTTGGTTTCTGTTTTCCATTGGCTCCAGCTTTACATCTGTAGATAGTATCTTATTTCCATTAAACCCCTTGCATTGGAAATCTTATTTTGTGATTTTTGTTTTGAAATGGCCTCTTGAGGACAAGTCTTTGGCTCTGTGCATGTCACTTCTACCTTTTGATGCCAGAAGGACCTTGAAACCAAACCATAACTTGAGACCCAGGTCACTCTTACCTTGCACCTGCCCTTCACTTGGTCTCACCTACCAGTGGAGGAGAATTAAACACCTACAAGAACGTTACATTTAACATTGCAGTGTATGAGGTGGTTTCCCGGCCCTTTTGGGGAGCTTAGTTAGGGTAACTAGGAAGTGACCTATCATAATGGAGTCACAGCTAGAAAGGAAAGTGTTCAGTCTCTTCAGTTTTCAGCAATCTGTTCCTGCTCCTATTCAGTCCCCAGGGTAAAGAAGATTCTAGACTGCTTTCTTTAGTCTTTTCAGCTCTTTTACTAATTTCTACTCATGGAATTTAGTCTTGGTCTTTTGGGACACACCACGTGGCCAAATCCATTCTCTACTTTTGGCAAAGATGTCCCTCTTGGGTCCTCTCTGTTTAGCTCTCTCACTGTTTTCTTCCCTTCCCCCAGTCCAGCAGTCATCAGTCTTTTTATGTATTTGTACCTCTCTTGTGTCTGGCCTTTTATGGAGATTGTTAGTCTCAGATCTGTCCATTTCTACTGATAGATAGGAGTGGTGACCTTTAGCTTCTGAGATTAGAAGACCTAAAGAGAAACTGCTCAAAAGAATGCCTGTCTCCACCTTTGCTTTAAAAGCTCCCTTTTTATAACCTTAACCTTTTCTATGTTTCAGCATGGGGTGGGTCAAGGGGGAAACCTACCCTGTGACACCTTTTCATTTTTTGTTTTTTGAGGAAGATTAGCCCTGAGCTAACATCTGCCGCCAATCCTCCTCTTTTTGCTGAGGAAGACTGGCCCTGAGCTAACATCTGTGCCCATCTTCCTCTATTTTATATGTGGGACACCTGCCACAGCATGGCTTGACAAGTGGTGCATAGATCTGCACCTGGGATCCAAACCGGCAAACCCCAGGCCATGGAAGTGGACCATGCGAACTTAACTGCTGCACCACCGGGCCGGCCCCTTCACCTTTTCTGTTTGTAGATATTCTTGCTCTACTCATGTTTATATTGCCAGCCAGTACCCAGTGAGAAGTCTTGCACATAAAAGGTGCTCAATTAAATGCTGGATTCATAATCCTGTCCATTTTTTTTAGTTCCCTCTTCTTATTCTCCTCTGCTATTATAGGATCTGAGTACAATTAAAGCCTTCTCCAAATTGCCTGTGTTGTATTTCTCAGTCAGAAACTTGCAAAGAATATTTTAAACAGTTGTCATGTGGGCTTTTCCTGAAATGCCATGTCACTCCAAAAGTGATACTCTGCTATTTTGACTACTCATAAAAAATGAAGTAGGAGGTAGGCTGAACAGAGAAATTCCAACTGAAATAGTACTCCTAGCCAAGCCAGTGGTGTAGGAACTTGCTTATCTTTAGAATTTTAGAAGCAAGTAAGACAGAGTGAATTTTTAAAAATCTTCCTCATCACTGGCAAAAGTAAATGACAAAACAATATTAGTAGTTGGTATAGAGATAAAATATTGAACAAAACATATCCTTTCTTGACATTTTTATGCTAATTCCAGTAGTTTGATATGGTTGTATGCTTTGTTAAGGACTATGTGTACACGAGTAAGACAACAAATTATATCAACTCATTATTTGAAAAACACCTTAATATTTTTGTATGTTTTAAATTAGATTACAGGGGAAAAATAATCTGTGGGGGCAAAGAGAAAAAAAGCTTTCCGTTCACAGTAGATTACAGTAACTCAGTGATATCTTGTATTTTAAAAGGTTTTTGAAATTCTAGTTTTAAATTCTAGTAATGACATTTTAAGTTATACATAGGAGATGTGGGACTCATCTTGTCTAGGAGAGAAGAATCTGTTTCACTTAACCATGTGGGTCTGTTTTACAAAAACAGTATAAATATTTGGACCAAAACACCATGGTGTGTTGGTATGTGTGGCTAAGATAATCAAATGATACTACTCCCAAAATTGTCCCCAGGGTATTTTATTTATATTCTCAGTGGCCACAGTCCTCTGGAAAGTTCTCCCTTGTTCACGACCCTCCATGAACACATCTGAAGTGGGCAGTGGAGAAGGTGCCCATCGTGGGGGCTACGTAGCATTCACAGCCCACTTCCCACCAGCATTAGTTTGGGGTGCCAGTATTGTCTTCTACAGCTTCTGAGGATAGGAGAGGAATGAAGGAAGAAAAGATTTTGATGACTAGCTTCAGAGGACCTTATGGAAATTCTAATTAGATACTTTCGTTCTTTCACCATAGGGTTCTAGTTTCTTTATAGCAGTTTTCTCAGAAATTTAGTATGCTTCTGATATATTGCTTCCAACCAGTTTCATGGTCACACTTCACATTTTTCTAAACATGGTTCTTAACTCTGCTCTTTTTCTTTCCTTCTCTCGTCCACACTTCCTTCTCAGTTCAGTGGTGGCCACCTTGAATCCATCTGAAACAAAGGCTGGGGGAAGTGGTAGGGGTGGCACGAGTTATAATCTTATTTTTGTCGCAGAGTTCAGTCTTTTTGTTTAATTGGGAATTTTTAATGGGTTTTGTTGTTCAAAGCCTTTTACAGTTGTTTATTTTTGCTATTTGGAGATCAGAAGCAGTCTGACTTTTCAGTTCTGCAAAGTCCCAAATTTCTGGACTCCCTACTCCCTTTCATTTCTATCTCCAAACTAGTTAATTTTTGCCTGAGCTCATCTCTTTCTTGTCATATCTTGCAATAAGCAGCAAAGAACAAATGATACACAGTGATGTAATGGCCTTTGGTGACTTCTTCCCCTAGAGCTGCAAGTCCGCTGGGCGCTTGGATTGCATTTTGAGTAATTGTCAGCTTCAGTTTCACTAAATGTTTTTATGGTAGCACAAATCGCCAGCTTTCTAGTCATTATATCTGTTTTCTTGCTACCTAATTCCGACCCCCTAATCACATATTAAAGTTTTGGGCCTTTGTTTTGGTCCCATTCTGTTCAAGTTGTTGATTCATTTCTCTGTTAAGCTAGGCTAGGTGTAGTAACAGAGAGACCACAAAGTGTCAGTGGATTATGGCAATAAAATTTTCTTTCTCATTTGCATAAGATCCTTGGATTATAGCAGTTTAAGTCAGCACTACAGCTCTCCTCTCCTGTGTCCTTCATGGACCCGTAATGAGGGTAGTTTTGAAATCTTCCACACATAGCTTCCAATGTAGCCCGGACCCTGGAAAGGAGACAGTGCATGGAAGAGTGCTCATGCTTGTTCTGCAGAGGCTAGAGCTAGAGGGGCACATGTCACTTCTGCTCACATTCTGTGGGGGAGAATATTATTTCACCTAACTTCAGGGGAGGCTGGGATGTGTATGGTAGGAAGAGAGAAGCTTTTAGTACTTAGCTAGTGGTCTCAGCCACAAGATGGTGGGAGGGAATTTATGTGTGTCAAGGATGAGTATAAGAAAAGGAAAATAGTACCTAAAAGGCGATGGGACTTAATGACTAGATGTTAAAGAACACAAAGGTGAAAAAGGAACTGTGAGCTAATGATTAACATCATGTGATATTCTGAAGGTATAACTATTCTGACGTTTTTGAGTGTAGCAAAGGAAAAGGGAGGGTTAATGAAAGTTGTTATCTATGGTTGTATGCCTTAAAGAGTGTGTGACTTCCTGAGGATGTAGTTTTTTAAATTTATTTTGGCATTTTGTGAACATGACTAACATGTTCTCTACACATAGCAATTAGTGTCGTTGTTTTGAAAAAATAAGATATTTTTAGATC